ACCTAGGCAGATCCCTGCAATTTTCTTGGCAAGATTTTGGAAGTGGTTTGCCCTTACCTGCTCCCAGGGCTGAAAGAAAATGACTAGCCCAGGTCACCCAGCTGACTTGATGCCCAAGGCAGAACTGTTAGAATAGAATAGAGCTGGAAGGGACCTTGGAGGTCTTCTAGTCTGCTCAAGCAGAAGAACATATACAATCTCAGACAAATGACTGTCTGAACTCTTCTTGAAAACCTCCAGTGATGGAACACCCATGATTTTGTAGGCAAGCTGTTGTTCCTCTAGTTAATTGTCCTTACTGTTAGGAAGTTTCTCCTTAATTCCGGGTTGCTTCTCTCTTTGATCAATTTCCAACCCTTATTTCTTGTCCTGCTCTCTGGTGCTTTGGAGAATAATTTGATCCCCTCTGCTTTGTGGCAGCCCTTCAAATACTGGAATACTGCAATCATGTCACCCCTAATTCTTCTTTTCTTTAAGATAAAGGTAAAGGTTCCCCTCACACATATGTGCTAGTCTTTCCCAACTCTAGGGGGTGGTGCTCATCGCCGTTTCAAAGCCGAAGAGCCAACACTGTCCGAAGATGTCTCCATGGTCATGTGGTCAGCATGACTAAATGCCAAAGGCACACGGAAGGCTGTTACCTTCCCACCAAAGGTGGTCTCTATTTTTCTACTTGCATTTTTACATGCTTTCGAACTGCTAGATTGGCAGAAGCTGGGACAAGTAACGGGAGCTCACCCCGTTACGCAGCAGTAGGGATTCAAACCGCTGAACTGCCAACCTTTCAATTGACAAGTTCAGCGTCTTAGCCACTGAGCCATCGCGTCCCGTGTTTTCTTTAGCCAGACCCAAAATTTGCAGCCGTTCGTCATATGGTTTAGTCTCCAGGCCTTTGATCAACTAAAACTCAGTGTCTCTCAGTTTCTAGCCTGAAGCCTTAACCATAACAGTAACTCAGAAGGGAAACCCAGGTTTGAATCCAAGCAAGAAGGCAACAATGAAGCAAACACTGGGCTGTCCCAGCACAGGCTTTGTCCCTGTGGGACAGGTATTGCAACATCTCACACACGTAGGAAAGGGGCAGAGCTTTCGTCATGCCATCGCATTGCTCACTTCAGCATTTTGCTGAAATGACTGGATTCTTTGGATTCCCTTCTGGTTTCAGGGAAGACTTTACCAGGAAAGGACAGAAGAGCGAAAGAAGCCCTGTTTACACATCGCAAATGTTAAAATTCCCTCAGGCAAGCTTTCCTTCCCCCTCCGAGGCATCCTTGCTTTTCAGCAAAACAATCTACAGTCACGTGTATCTCCTGCTCATTCCTGTGCTTTCAGCAGCCTCTTCACCTCTTACCAGGGAATGTATGAGGACTCCCTCAAGGTAAGATATCTTTCCTGAGGTCCATGACCAATAATGAAGCTTGACCGTAGAAATAAGTTACACAGAGACAAAAGAAAAAAAAAACCTCTAAGAATAAACCTGGGTAAGCATATCCATAAATCGGCTACACATTTCACATATACACAGGGGTGGGCTTCAAAAATTTTAGCAAGGAGTTCTCTGCCTGATTGCTGGGTGGGCATGGCCTAATCGGCCTCCTGCACCTCCTCCATGGTGGGGGGGAGGGCGTTTTTGCCCTCCCTGGGCTCCGGAAGCTTTCCTCAAGCCTCTGGGAGGGCGAAAACGGCTGAACATCCAGTAGGCCCATTTTTTGCTCTCCCCGAGCCTCCATGCATGCCCTGCACTTACCTGCATCCAAAACGGACTGCGTGGGGACTCCTGGGAGGGGCGGGGTGGGATGAGCAGGGCCAGCCAGGAGTGGGATTTGAAGGTTCTCCAAACTGCATAGAATCTTAGCTAGAGGTTCTCCTGAACCCCTGCAAACCCCCAACTTTAAAGGTTGGTCACCACCTTTAAAGCGCTCCATGGCATAGGATCTAGTTATCTTCGAGACCGCCTGCTGCTACCGATGACCTCCCACCAACCTGTGTGCTCCCACAGAGAGGGCCTCCTCAGGGTGCCATCAGCCAAACAATGTAGGCTGGTGACCCCCGGGGGAGGGCCTTCTCTGTGGGGGCACCTACCCTCTGGAATCAGCTGTCCCCAGAGATAAGGAGAATCCAAGACCTCGGTGCCTTCCGCCGTGCCCTTAAAACTTTCTTTTTTCAGCAAGCCGGGTTGGCTTAATATATTTTTTAAATATTTTTAATTGGTTTGTTATTTTAAATTGGGGCCAAATTAATATATATCTTTTTAATTGTTTTTAATGTTTGTATTGTATGTTTTTATCTGGCTGTACACCGCCCTGAGTCCCTCGGGAGAAGGCGCGGTATATAAATTCGAAATAAAAAAAAAAAACTGCCCACTCCTGCATATACATAGCAAAACCTGGCTGAAGTTTAAGTAGCGGAATCACAGCTATCTGAGAGTAAACAAAAGCAATTGAGGGGACCAGAGAAATTGTTCAAAAGTGAGGACATCAACTATGAATATGTATCAGCATAAAATGCACAAACGAAATGTGATTTATAATTTCAGTATTCCCTTAGCCGGTACACATAGGCAGAACCTTAGTCAAATGGAATTCACTTGTGCTTCCCTTCTAAGAGCCACCACACTGAAACATGCTAAAGAGAAAATATTTACAGATTGTGATTTGACTTCAATATCTGGCAGCTCTAAGAAGAGTGAAGGAGCTCATCGGGAATATTTCCATGGGAAACTATGCTAAATTTAGCTGTACATCCACATCCTTAATCTGTTGCCTCAAACCTTCAGTTGCATGCTCCTGTCCAAGTATGCAGAGTTCAAGGGGTGGGGGGAACCCTTCAAATGTTTAATTTATTGCATTAGAGCAGGAGGCAGCAAAATTCTCTGTAAAAATTTGCGGGATCAAATCTACAGGAGCAAAATACATATACAGTGTGAAAGTAGATATCCAGCTGTTGGTCTCAATGCTCCCCTTGCAGCAAAGAATCAGATTTCAGGTATAGCAAAGAATTTGATTTAGACTTTTCTGAAGGGAAGAGAGGATCTGCATAGGCCTATTTGGCCACTGAGTAACCACTGTGCTTTGACTGGCCAAATACATATGCAGCAGGGAGAAAGAATGCGTTGTTAGTGTAGAATGGGCCTTCTGTACTACATAATTATCCTACATTTGCTGTGCATCTATATGTGATCATGGCCTGAAAACTATGCCTAGGTATTTGAATGATTTTCTCAATAAACAACTAGCTAGAAGACCTCCAAGGTCCCTTTCTGCCCTATTCCTAGATAATTAGGAGCCTTGGTGGAGCAGCGGACTAAAGCGCTGTTAAATAGCACTTAGCTGCCAGCTGCCTGCAATTACTGCGAGTTCAAATCTCACCAGGCCCAAGGTTGACTCAGCCTTCCATCCTTCCGAGGTAGGTAAAATGAGGACCCGGATTGTGGGGGCAATAAGCTGACTTTGTACAAAAAAGAACACCGCTTAGGGGGGGCCGAAAGCCCTACTAAGCAGGTATATACAAAAGTATGAAGGCTATTGCTTAAAAGCATTGTAAGCCGCCCTGAGTCTCCGGAGAAGGGCGGCATATAAATCGAACCAATAAATAAATAAATAAATAAATAAATAAATAAATAAATAAATAAATAAATAAATAAATAAATAAATAAATAGGAAAAACCCAAAATTGTCTAGGCACTAACTGTAAAAAAGGAAAGTTTCTTTTCAAGATCAGTAGGCAGATGAGGTATTAGTGGAGAAATAGTTTTGTTTAAATTTGGTTTACGTTACTTCAGTAGTGGTATTCATTTACATTCGCTAATGGTTCTCAAATGTGAGCATGCACACACGCACTCGCTTCTCTTGTGCGCACTACCTCTGCCTTTGTGCAGAGCCTTCTATGCATGCACAGAGCGTCCATGATGACGTCCTGGCGGGTGGGCGGAGCTTCCTGCTGCCACCGCTACTGCCTGAACCGGGTAGAACCAGTAGAATCCTACCACTGCGTTACTTCCTATTTACAGTTGCTTGTCCTCCCCCCTCCTCATTTCCATATTTACACTCATGTTCTGGCAAATTCATGGCTGGCTGTCATAATGAATGAAAATGTAGCAGAAAATGAGATGCCTCTAATTCCGAGTGACCATTCCAATTACAATATGTAAAACAGAGTTGACAACCTGGCCTTTTAGATATTGCTGAACTACAACTAAGAGCATTTTCAGTGAGCAGAGATAATAGGGAGGGATGTTAACCTTTTGTAATACATCAGATTGTAAGAGAAGATCAGATTGCTAAATCGTCCTGCATATTCATGAAAGCACTTTTGTCTACAAGTAGTCCCAGTTGGGACTGAAACTTCTGTTGCTAAGTGATGCAGTTGGTAAGTAAGTCACACCCTCTTTTATTGGTTGTTAAGTGAATCTGGCTTTCACCATTGGCTTTGCTTGTCAGTAGCCCCTTGGGAAAGTCACAGATGGTTCCAGGATGCTCCAGCTGCTAAACATCCAAATTTTGATCACATGATGGTGTTGCACATGATGATGAGGGTAAGGAGAGATGGTAAAGTCATTTTTTTTCAGTACTGCCATAATTTTGAGCAGTTGTTTTAAAAAAATGGTCGTAAATTGAGAACTACCTGTATGTAGAAAGGTAGTATAGCCAGGAGAAACCTGAGTAATTTTTACCTGGAAGAATTTGCCAAACATAATTTCCTACTTCTCCACAATTGCTTTTTCCAGATATTAAGATTAGCAATGAACTTCTCAAGGTTTGAGGGTGCAACATCATGCATGTGGGAAAATATGCAGCATAGAAATGTTTTTATCAAAATACAGATACATTTCTCAGTTGCATTTCAACAACTTTCTGGATTTAGAATACAATTCTGTACAGAACTAACTGCCAAATGCAGTCCCTTCTTAACTATATTCAGCTTCTAGTTATGCCATTGAGATATTCACTCATTTAGATTTTGCTGACTGAAAATAAAGATATGTTTCCAGAATGACCTACCTGTGGTATTAGCTGCAAATTCAATATTCTTGCAACTGACATAGACACTTCCGAATAAGTGGCTCCTATGACAGCTTTTACTCGGGGTGTGTAATCTGAATAGTTGCATCTGAATTCTACCAGGTCTTTGGAAGCATTAAACTTGGACAGGAACCTCAAAGCTGCAGCCATTGCCCTGGTGACTTCTGCACAGGTGTCATAGATTTCATAACCCAGTTTAATTCCTGGTAGAAGAGGGGAGTTGTTGACGATTTCTATGGCATGGACCATCGCAAGACTCTGAAGAAACACTTGAACTTCAAAGCTGCCAAGAAACACAGGAATAATTGTTAGCTGTTTCAACAGAAGCTGTATGACATTATATAAAATCAGGATGCATGTTGCCTATTTGCTTTCAATAAACTCATCGTGATGAGCTCCCTTCAACTTATAAAATGGATAACGCACACCTTTGACAGAAAAGTCAGTCCAAATACCTTGCAGGCATTTGTCAATATTATTTGAACTCTCCTCTACAGATGCATATGGTTAGATTTATCTCTGATTTCCAGGCATTTCCAATAAAAATGCCATTCTGCAGTGGTTGCCCAGATTAAATAACCTTTGAGTGCTTTCTAGGATTTTGGAACAGGTGAATGTATTTACATACATACAGATTCTTCTAGGTCTCCATCTACTGTATGTTGAAATGCTCCATCTCTGACAACTAATTGCACTGTTTGGATCAGACTACTGACAAAGGCAACAAGCAATCTCCACTGCTTTTAGGTTACTGAGCCCCACAATGTGCTTTTTCTTTCTCCAAATGGGTTTATCACACTCAAAACTAGTTCATCTAAGTTTTAGAGCAATTAAGATGATCAAAGGCCTGGAGAATAAAACATATGAAGAACGGCTGCAGGATCTCAGTTTGGCTAGTCTAAAGAAAAAAAGAATTAGGGGTGACATGATAATAGTATTTCAGTATTTGAGTGGCTGCCTAGGGGTGAAATCCAGCAGGTTCTGACAGGTTCTAGAGTGGAAATTTTGAGCAGTTCGGAGAACCAGCAAATGCCACCTCTGGCTGGTCCCAGACTAGGGTGGGAATGGAGATTTTGCAATACCCTTCCCCCAGGAGTGGGGAGGGAATGGGGGTTTTGCAGTATCCTTCCCCTGGAGTGGGGTGGAAATGGAGATTTTGCAGTATCCTTCTCCTGCCACGCCCACCAAGCCACACCACACCCACCAAGCCACACCCACAGAACCAGTAGTTTAAAAAATTGAATTTCACCACTGGGGCTGCCACAAAGAAGAGGGGGGTCAAATTATTCTCCAAAGCACCAAAGAGCAGGACAAGAAACAATGGTTGGAAACTAATCAAAGAGAGAAGCAACCTGGAATTAAGGAGAAATGTCCTAACAGTGAGGACAATTAACCAGTGGAACAGCTTGCCTTCAGAAATCATGGGTGCTCCATCACTGGACGTTTTTAAGAAGAGTCTAGACAGTCACTTATGTGAAATGGTATAGGTTCTCCTGCTTGAGCAGAGAGCTGGACTAGAAGACCTCCAAGGTTCCTTCCAGCTCTATTCTATTCTATTCTATTCTATTCTATTCTATTCTATTCTATTCTATTCTATTCTATTCTATTCTATTCTATTCTCATTCCCATTCCCATTCCCATTCCCATTTCCATTTCCATTTCTATTTCTATTTCTATTTCTATTTCTATTGCCTGGAGGAAGAAGATTAAGAACCTTACCATTTCCTAGTCTTCTTTCCTAGGTCCTTTAAGAGATGGCAAGAAACTTCTTTTGGGGGAGAGCAGCATTTATCCTTTGGACATGATACTGGTGAATAGATGTGGATGATGGTAGGTGAAGCAAATGTGTGCATGGGCACCTAGGACCTCTGCACAAGCTTCTTTTTAATGATCCAATTCTTTAGAAGTGTCAAAGTCAGGATACGTTAACTATCTCAACATTGCCAATAGAAGTACAGGTAGTCCTCGACTTACGACCACAATAGAGCCCAAAGTTTTTGTTGCTAAGTGAGACATTTGTTCAGTGAAATTTGCCCCATTTTATGACCATTCCAGCCACAGTTGTTAAGTGAATCACTGTAGTTGTCAAATTAGTGACAGGGCTGTTAAGTGAAACTGGCTTCCTCATTGACTTTGCTTATAAGAAGTTCGCAGAATGGGATTGCATGGCCCCAGGACAATGTAACTGTCCTAAATATGAGTCAGTTGCCAAGTGTTTCAATTTTGATCATGTGACCATAGGGATGCTGCAACAGTTGTAAGTGTGAAAAATGGTCATAACTCACTTTTTTCACTGCCGTTGATATCTACGGTAAGATGTCTTGGTAACTGCTATGGGCTCTTGAAAAACCATAGTAGTCCTGCTGACCTCATTAACTCTTTCCTACCCATATCTCCCAGTCCCACAAAGGCACCTATGTCTCAGAAAAATGGCCTGCCATGGTTAGAATGCAGTACTGCAGGCTAACTCACTGCTCAAGGTCAGGATTAGTGTCAAGCCTGAATTTGATTGGGGTGTGAGATTGTTTGTATCCTTGGGTATTCTGACATGCCCACACCCCAGTCAACAATTAGATTCTAACTGGCTCAAGGTTGACTCAGCCTTCCATCCTTTCGAAATCAGTAAAACAAGGACCCAGATTGTTGGGGGCAATATGCTGACTCTGTAAATCTCTCAGAGAGTGCTGTAAAGCACTATGAAACGGTATATAAGTCTAAGTGCTTTTCTAATTGCATTAATCCAGCAATGTTTTCCTTAGCTTAGTGACTTCTAGATGTCACAGGGGTTGTCCAATCTAGAGGATCATAGGTTGTGCTGCCTGAGAATTCCATTTCCACATATTTGGAACACATCAGTTTGGATAGGACTTTTAAATCTGGGCTGCAAAATTGTGGTTCTACACCAGATGGCAACCAAGCTTTAGTATTTTCTGTATTTCTTTGCTGCTCTCTAGTGCTCATCTGGCCAAATTTGGTATCTCTTGAGTTGGGGGAAAAGCTGTTATGAACAAAGGAAGGAAGAGAATTTAATTACCCTTTGAGATGCACTTTGAAAATGCTGACTGACAGGTAGTGATGATGGATTGCTTCACTATTAATATATAATATAGAAGTCAGTCTTAGGTAAAGTGACTTTATTTTATGAAATTCTTGTTATTCCGAGCATGGCCTTTATAAATTCTTGAGCAAGGATGATAACATTAATGGGCTGTATCCATTAGGGCTAATGCAGCAAAATTCTGCATGATCACTAGATGGCAGTAAGGAGCTAAAAATTTATGTACTTTTTTTGAAGCTATCTAGTGGTTGTCCAGATTATTACAATCCAGATCTGGTACCTTAATCATCTTTAAATCTGATATCAATTCCCAGACTCTCAATGTGATTGCATCTGAATCATTATATAAAAGTTTCTACTTCCAGTTACTTTTAAAAAAAGTTATATACAACACTACAGCACAAAGGATATTGTATACTTGGGCTAGATTCTGGTCCCATAATGTTTGTAAAGTCATATTGTTGTGTCATGGATCTAAATATTAAAATTTGCAATAATTAATCATATACTGCAAAAGAGATATAAATCAACAACATAAGGTCTTTCTTTCTGCATCCGTACTCAGAAATAAGGCTTGTTGAATTCAATGGATCAATGTAATACAGTAATTTACAGATTAGTTTTACAGCACAATCCTACAGTGTTGGCATAAAGATAAACTCCATTAATTTTTATTTTATAAGATCTGAGTAAGATAGATTTTGAGGCTCTCCCTAATCCCTGGTACTAGATTTTATCTGCCTATAGTAGTATAACAGTCCTTTAGTCATGCAGTCCCTTTAACTCAACTGACAGATCAAACCCCATCTTTTAAGTAAGAATCATTTAAAAATTGAATAAATTTCCAGTCCTCTCCCCCTTTTGAGTAGCCCCGTTCACTTTCATATCATTTTCCTCATAACATTTTTATGGCAGAGAGCTGTTGTTACTCACCCAGCACAATTAGCAATCATAGGTTTGAGGGGCTTCTCTCCAGAATGTAACATTTTGCCATGAATTGCAAACAAGCCTCCAATGACAATATCTCCAGGAGAACTGGCACCCACAAAGTCATCAGGAGTCCGGCAGGAGTCACCAAGAGGAGACCAAATCAGGAAGACAGGTATTAACACACCAAATATTGCCATCGTTCTCTTGCATTTGATCTTTAGCTGCCTTCAGTCAATTAAGCAAGCAGCTCGGCAAACAACATCATTCCTATTTCACCTGTAAATAATGAAAAGGGAAAAGGAGCTGTTCTGGAAGGCGGGCACACGCCTTAACCAAATGCTGGTTACCAGCTCTGACAGGTCTTGTTTAATAGACCACTGGAGGAGCTATTGGGGGTGGTAGAGATGTGTGTATATGTGTGTGTGTGTGAGAGAGAGAGAGAGAGAGAAAGAGAGAGGGAGGGAGGGAAGGAGGGAGAGAGGGAGGGAGGGAAGGAAGGAAGGAAGGAAGGAAGGAAGGAAGGAAGGAAGGAAGGAAGGAAGGAAGGAAGGAAGGAAGGAAAAAACCTTTCTGACTGTACAGGCTTCCTGAAGGTGTTTTCCAGATACACTGAATTATAACTTCCATCATCCTCATCCAATGCAGCACACTTCCCATTATCCCCTACCTGCATTTCTGGAGGTTTCTAGGGGGCGTTGGTTGTGATAAAGGATAATTTGGGAAGCAAAAAAGGTCTGAGGGACAAAACCTATCAGGAGAGATTGGAGGAACCAAATATGTACAGACTGGAGGACAGAAGATAAAGGGAGGGGAGGGGGTATGGTTGTAACCTTTAAATATACTAAGGGTGTGAATAAGGTTCTAGAATAAGGCAGTATTTTCAGTTTTAAGGAAAAACCAGGTACTACGGGGACATAACCTCAAACTGACAGGAGGGAAGCTCAAAAGTAATGTTAGAAAGTAATACTTCATGAGTAGTGGAAGCTCAGAA